ATGTGGGATCCGAACCGGGGCCCTCTGGCGTCCCAAGCCAGCTCCTAACCATCATGCCACTCGGCCGGCCCTCCTTTTTAATTTCATCATCCCATGTTGCCAATTAAGTCACTTAACTGCCATCTGTAGATTTCACTTACTCTATACATTTGGCTTCAGAAGATTTATTTTCTCTTATTTTTTATCACATCCACATTTCCTGGGCTCTCCATCTTCAACCAATATATTCATCTAATAGAAATGTCCAGCACTAGATACCTTTTAAGCTCTCTTTCCTTTTTCAGGACCCATATATCCTCTTTCCAATCTCTAGTTCCGCTACTGGTCTCATCCCTACAGCCATTACATGAGTGAATGATTCATTTTCCATTATCCTCTCAGCACCGATGAGAAGACTTAGTCCAGTCACCCAGCCCAATCCTGTCATGCAGGTACAGGAAGATGGAGACAACCTCATCCCCTTTGCCAAGTGAGTCGTCCCCACCCAGTGGGAAGAGTGGGGACGGGATGGAGGGAAGATTACATGCCTGGGTTCTTTCCTAAGAAGAGTAGGAAATAAGGAAAAAGAAGCTCACTGCCTGGGTTCAGCAGATTGATGATTCATTAATTTATTCAACAAATAGTTTTTGAACACTGCATTGTTCTAGGCACTGTATTAGGCACCAGAGATTTAGTAATTAGAAAGATAGGGCCCCACTCATAGAGCTTACATTCCAGAGGGGGGGAGGCAGAATGTGCAAACAAATAAATACAATTTCAACTAGTAATAAGTACCACAAAAAAAATAAAACAGGTGTATAATGGAAAAATAGGATGTCTGGGATACACAAGTTTAGATAGGGTGATTATGGAAGACTATTCTGGGGAGGTGAATTTGAATTGAGATCTGAAAGATGAGGAGGGGCCAGTCTGATAAGAACCACTGGTAAGAAGAAGGAATAGTAGGTTTTTAAAAGGTCCCAAAAAAAAAACAGGCTTGGTATCTTCTAGGACCAGGAAGCAGGCCACTGTAACTGATATTTAGGGATCAAGGGAAATGTGGAGTGTGTACTCAAACAGACAGAGGACCTTATAGGCCATTGAAGAGTTTGGATTTTATTCTAAGGACAGTAGAAATCAGTGGAAGTTTTTACACAAGGGAATGACATGAGCAGACTTTTTTTTTTTCCTTCATCTTTTTTTATTATGGAAAATTTCAAACAAATACAGAAGTAGAGATAATGAACCTGGTATACCCTTTTCAGTCAGCTTCCATAATTATCATTATATGGATAATCTTTTCATCTGTACACCAATCCAGCCTCCTACTAACTCAGATTATTTTGAAGTAAATTTCAAACTGCGTATCATTTCATATAATCATTTCAAAAGGATTACTCACACTGCTCTGTGCAGAATAGTTTTTAGGGGATTAGAATGGAAGCAGGAAGAGGAGGAGGAGGAGGCCATTGCAATGGTCCAGGCAGGGGAAGATGAGCTGCAATATGGTGATGGGAATGAAATGGTGAGGAGTGGTGAAATTTGGGTATATTTTAGATGCAGAGCTGACACAACTTGCTGATAGATTACACAGAGGAGGTGAGGAAAAATGAGGCATACCAGGTTTTTGGCTCTAACAACTGGGCCTTTCAGCGAGATGGGAAAGGCTAGGGAGATGTTGAGTGGGCAGCTGAACCTGTGAGTCTGGAGTCCAGGGGAAGAGCCAGGCCTGGGAACATAGATTTGGGAGTGATTAGCACATTGGTGGTATTTAAAGTCATGAACCTGAGTGATATCAGCTAAGGAAAGATGGAGATGGAGAAGATTAAGGGCCCAGGTCTAAGTCCTAGGACTCTCTCCTTCTAGAGATCAGGAAAGCAGTCATCCTTTAGTCCAGCAGTTCTCAACCTGTGGGTCCCGACCCCTTTGGGGGGGTCAAACGACCCTTTCACAGGGGTCACCTAAGACCATCGGAAAACAAAAAGATATTTACATTACGATTCATAACAGTAGCAAAATTACAGTTATAGAGTAGCAACGAAAATAATTTTATGGTTGGGGGTCACCACAACATGAGGAACTGTATTAAGGGGTCGCGGCATTAGGAAGGTTGAGAACCGCTGCTTTAGTCTGAGGCCTTTGGAAGTGATGAGCACTGTTCTCAAACAGCTCTGCACATCCCTTAGGATATTAGTCTTTCTGAGATAGGGGAGACAGAATCCTTGCATTGACCAAAAGGAACCTGTCTGTCACATCGCCTGAGTAGCTGGGGCTTTCCTCTCTAACAGCCCTGCATGCTAAATACATGTTCTCTGGTTGTGGATTGTAGAAGCTTGAGATTCAGTGAGATCTGAGGCTCAAACAATTGCCAATCTCCACCTCATCCCAGCTCCAATCTCCTTTCAAATCAGGGGCCTCACCACCTTCCTCAGCTAAAATGGATCAGGGAGGACATGGCCTGAGGGAGCCTGGGAAGCTGTATGGTCCCATGGAAAGGGCCTCTGAATCCCTTTTTGCTGCAAGGGAAAAGCCAAACCCAAGCCTACCTTGCCCTCACCTCAGGTGTTCCAGGGTGGTCAGGCGATCTCCAACCTCCAGCTTGCCTTCCCAGAGCCTCAGACTGACGCCCCAGCATTATGGAGACATCTGGGAGAACCTTAATCAAAGGCCCAGGTGGGTAGAAAGGGAGAAAATGGGGACTAACTGGAGGTAGGAAACTGAGGCAGTACAATTTTAAACTACCATAAAGCCTTATAGCAATATGCCCTAGTCTGAGGATAACTGCCCCACTGGCAGATGGACGCTGTAGCTCCTGATTCCAGATAGACAGATGGTGGGGAGAGATCCTTAGGGAAACAGTAATGGATGGGGGTGTCCTCTCTGCACTTAGTCCCCTTTTTGTGCTTCACAGCCCCACCTGGATGGAGGAACAGTACATCCCACCCCTGCTGGTATAACTTTCTGCCCTTCAACACTTTTCAGTTAAAATTGCACCTACTGCCATCTTATCCCCAGCTCTCCTTATTACCCCTTCTGTCTAGTGTCCCCAGGCCCTCCTTTATATGAGTCAATTAGCATGTTTTCCAGATCACAGCTGTTTTCATGATCTGGGCTTACCAAGACCCCTGACTCCCTATTTCGGCCAAGCTCCCCAAGTGCCCAGTTCTGCCCTCTAGCTCCTTTTCCCCATTCTCTGGCACAAAGAGCTACTGGTTGTTCCCAGCCTGGCATGTACCCCCCTGAGGGGCTCCCACACCCTGAGATGCTTTGCAGAAGAAAGAGGAGGAGGCCACATTTGGCAGGAATGCAGCAGGGATCTGGGGGCATCCCAGCCCGAGTAAGGGCTGTCACTGACCACCTGGAGGATCTAAGGAGGTGACAGAGAATCATCAATGAGTAAGGAGACCCATCTGGGCTCTGGGAGCCAAGCAGGGTGTGGGGGTAGAATGGGTTGAACTAAAGAAGGGGTGGAGAGTTTTGAGAGAATTTGAGATTGTTTGGAAATGAATCATGGACTTAGTGGGATTGAAGCAGAATTTCCATAATGTGGAAAGGAGGGAACTGAGGGATGGAGGACGAGCCACATGAACTAAAAGGAGTAGAAACTGGATCACTGAAGATAGGAAAGCACTCCTTAGAACTAGAGGATAGTGGGGAGCTAGAGGTCACCTCTGAATCCTTAAACTGAAAATACTTTTAGTCTGAGGGGAGCAAAAAGTTGGGAGTGGAGAGTTGGAAGTCAAACGACAACACCTCTGGGTCTCAGCAGCAAGTATAGTAAAGCAGAAAGGTGACGAATGGGGAGACGGGAAGCCTGGCCTCCAGGTAACTCTTTCCTAAGCCTAAAGTCTCCACAGACTAAAGAAGGCCCGGTGGGGCAGCTCTGGGGCTGCATCTGAGCCCCTGGTGCCTGATGAAGCAGGCTGTGGATTACCCAGCATCACAGAATACCCTGAACTGGAAGAGGAGAGGGCACCTTATCCAAGGGAAGAGGACCACTTTCTCCCTCCTGGCAGGGCTCAGGTATGGCTGGAGAGGAACTTGGTGGGGTGATGGGAGGTGATGTGGATGCTTGGTCCTGCATGGAGAGGTGGCAGAAGCCAACAGCCAGGTTGGATAGCTGGATTTGAGGGGAACAAAAATAAAGTAGGCAGGAGCCAGAAACTTGGGGGTACCTGAGTTTGGGCACTAGGAAATCTGGAGAGAGGCATTCTTTTCCATCTTTTCATTCTTTTTTCAATTTCTCTCATCTTCACAGCTGCTTTGGTCTCCCTGGAGTCCCCTGGGCCTGGAAGGATCTTGTCTCTCCAGGCAGCAGAGTTCTCTGCCCCACTCCAGCACTGTCACAGCCAGTAGGAACCCCCTTTACAATCTGTGGGGGATGGAAATGCAGTCTGAGGAGTAAGGAGAAATCATCCATGCCCAACATGCCAATGCTGCCTCAGGGATCCAAGCCTCCTCCTCGTTGCTGGAATCGTCCCCATTTCTGGCATCGAGGCATTTCCCTTTCCTTAGCTTCCCCCCAGCTTCCTCTCCCCTACTCTGAACTCACAGCCCCCTTGGTCTCCCATCTCCATCCACACCTCTCCAGGAACTCCCCAAGGCCTGTTGCCACCTAGGCCCTGCTCCCGGGCACTGTGTTCTTTTCTCTGTTCTGTCATTAAAAAGCAAACAAGCTGAGCCCAGAGTTGTCTTTCTCTCCTGAAGCAGTCAAGGAAAGGCTCATAGGGAGGACCCAGCAACAATGAAGCCGGTTGGGTCCACAAAATTCAAGGAGTCACGCCCCAGGCGAGAAAAGTCCTGCCCCCCTAGAAGAGCGTTGCTCGCCCAGCACTGGACAGCCACCCGCGCCCGTCTCCCAACCCGGGGGTCACGCCAGTCGGCCGAGCTTCCGCCTCCGGAGCCGGGGAGCCTGCCCCTCCGCACTACTGCCCCCTCAGGGACTTCCTGGCAGTCGGTCGCCCAGGCCAGTGCCCCACCCGGAGCCCGACGTGTGCTGCCCCCCAGGTTCCCTTGCCGATCCCCTTCCCCTTAATTGGGAGGCCCCGCCCCGCCCCGTGCGCACTGACGTCGGACGCCGCTGTCAGCCGGCGCTGGGGGGGGGGTCGGTGTGGGGTAGAATGGCCGCTGCCGCCGTCACCCGCGGGACCCCAGGAGGTAAGAGCCAGGGCCTCTCGCCCGCCTCTCCGCCCCCGCGCCAGGGGGCGCAGCTCCACCCGCCCGGACGCGGCTCGCCGCGCCGGGGACCACCGCCCCTCCTCCGAGATTACCCCCACTGCCCGCTTCCGTCCTCCTCCCCCGCGCCAGGGGGCGCCGCTCTGGGTAGGGCCCCACGGCTGACCTGCCGCGCCGAGACTGCTTGGGGGACCCCCGCTGCCCCTCGCCCGCCGCGCGCCCGCGGACTCTGCTCCGCAGCTTCTCCAGAACATCCCTCCGTGTAGACGGGAGGCAGGACCCTCCCACCTCAGAGCTTCTCCCGGGACCACCGCCCCACCGTGGGGGGCCGTCTCCGGACCACCTCCGCACCCTGGCAGGCGGCCGAGCCCGGACTGCGCACCTGCGCCCAGGGGCGGAGTCCTTACCCCAACCCAGGCTCCAAAGCACGCAGCTGAGCTCCCACAGGCCTCCTCCTCCCCCTTGCCATCCCCGGACACCTGGCGGAGCCCGCACTGAGAGCCTCCTCCAGCTTCCATCTGTTCCCCCAGGAGGGTGGGGACTTAGGCTGGATCCAGAGTGGTAGTGCAGTGTAGGCCTGGAGGCCAGGGGAGGCAGAGGCGTTTGGGGAAGGTGGGGGAGAGGTGGGTAGGGGGTGGAAAGGGCTGTCAGCCACAGGGTGGAGGATGAGTTGTCCTGAGGGTGGGAAGCTGATTCCTGGGTGTCTAGCCCAGATAGTACTAGGCCTTGACCAACCTGGACCAGAGGGAGAGGCTAGGATCATTTATCAGATCTGCCCTTCCTCTTGGAAAAATCAAATAGAGAAGGAACTCAGGGTGTGTCTTCCAAGGCCTACCTCTACACTCTGACTTATATCTTCTGCCCAACCCCCAGCATCCAAGCTCTCATTTGCCACACCGTTCTCCAAGGATCCCATGCCCTGTGTCCCAGCGCCCAGTACCTGACCCCACTGAAGCCCCAGGCTTCGTCGCAAGAGCCCACTGTAGGGCACCAGCCCTGCCAGCCTTCTCCCCTCCCCCACCCACTCTTCCTGGTTGTTCTGTCGCGTCTCCCCACTCACGTTGGTTCCTGGCACCATGTCTGGTTTCTCCTCCTCTTCCATTACCTGGCTCTACTCTCAACATCAGAGCCTAGCCCCTTCCTCTTTCTTCCTCATCTTTCTCAGATGCCATGACCCAGTTCGGTACTCCCTCTCCCACCTCATCCTCCTCATCCTGGATAAGTGTCGGGGCTTCTGCCATGACCTGTTCTCTCCCTTCCCAGCACAGACTCCCCCTCCCCCCGGCCCCTCAGGCCGGGGGTGACCTTGCCCCTGGAGCCCTCACCATGAATACCAAGGACATCACTGAGGTTGCTGGTGAGTTGACAATCCAGGTTCCTAGTTTGAGCACAGCCTTTTTCTCTCTCCACACTGTGGTGACCCTGTAATCCTTGGACCCCTGCTCTCCTTGTCATCGGGTCAGTTTCCCCCCAATGCTCTGGATTCAGCGCCCCTTGGCTAGCACACTAAGACCTCCCTTCTAATTCCCTCTAGAGAACAGCCACCACCTGAAGATCTTTCTCCCCAAGAAGCTGCTGGAATGTCTTCCTCGCTGTCCGCTGCTGCCTCCAGAGCGGCTACGGTGGAATACAAATGAGGTTTTCTAGGGAGCCTGGAAGATTAGGGCCTAGCAAATCCTGGTGGGCTGGAGGAGGGTGAATGGGGGTCTTCCTGGGTCTGTCCACGCTCCCAAATGCAGACTACTGTTCTGGGCTCTTTGGGGATCATAGAAGAGGTCGAAAGACGAACATCTTGCAGGAGCTCACTTCTTGGCATATCCACCTGGGTAAAAATAATAGCTATCACCCATAAAGTATTTCTTACAAACTGGGCACTGTACTCAGCACTTGACCTGCATTATCTCATTCAGTCCTCTAATGACGCCATAAAGCAGGCACTGTTAGCCCTGTGGTCCAGATGAGGAAACCGACTTGCCTCATGCAGTTTATCTAACTCCAGACCCCCTGCTTTTAACCACCGCTGATGCTGGCTCCTGGAGGGCATGGCCCTAGGTTACACACCTTCTGTGCTCCCCACACACAGTGCTTTGTATGTACTTGGTGGTTAATCGTTATTGATTTGATTATTCGATTCGAAAAGAACTGTCAGTAAAAGGGTATGTGTGTGAGTGTTAATGTTGTAAATGCGGTAAGGGCTGGGGGGTGGGCGGGGGGGTTGAGCAGGGTTTCATGGATCTGGGAAGGAATTTGGTCTATAGGATGGCTAGGATTTCCAGACTCAGAGATGTGCACGTGGCACAGGCTTGTAGGGCACTATCCTTCAGGAGGTTACTGCTCAGGGCATGTTCAGGGAAGAATCAGTTTGGCAGGACTGGTAGGTGCAATATGAGTAAATAGTGGGAGCATGGGAACGATGGCTTGATGCCTGGTCAGGGAGAATCTTGGAGTCAGGCTGAGGAATCTGGAATTCCTGGCAGTGTCAAACCATTGAAGTTTTTGAGTCAGGAAGTGGCACAAAAATGGAATTTGGAGAGAGTAAAAAAGTATACAGTATGAAGAATGGTTGATGAAGAGCTTGGAGCTTCCCCTGAGAAAAGCCCGTTAGAAAGGAGGTTCTTGGGGCTGCGGGCCTTGCTGGATCCATATACCTGGCAGCATCCTCCACTGGCTGCCGGAACTCAGCAGAGAGTCAGACTGGGGGTGACGGAGAGACCAGGCTGAGACTACGAAGGGGACACCCACCTGAGACTGTCTTCTCCTACAGGAGATTGCATCCTACTTGATCACCTTTGAGAAGCATGATGAATGGCTATCCTGTGCCCCAAAGACAAGGTGAGAAAGTCGGTGAAGATGGGGAGTTGCAGGGGTTCTGGGTTCTGTTCACAGAACTCAAGCCGAACCCTTCCCTCCTCAGGCCTCAGAATGGCTCCATTATCCTCTACAACCGTAAGAAGGTGAAATACCGGAAGGATGGTTACCTCTGGAAGAAGCGGAAGGATGGGAAGACCACCCGAGAGGACCACATGAAGCTGAAGGTCCAGGGCATGGAGGTAAGCGAGGCATCCAGCTCAACTGCCCTGGCCCAGCCTTCTTCACCCTTAGCGGGGTTCCAGCCCTGCCAGGGCTTGGTGACATAGTCTGCCTCTCCACCCTCCCAGTCCCTCTCCCCTTCTCACTCGCTTTGCATCAGCTGGCTGATGGCTTAGCCCACTCTCTGCTTCCCATTTCCCTCAGTGACCCCACTCTCCAGGCCTTAGGCCATGCTTCCCCTGGAGGACACTGATGCCCAGTCCCCTCACCTGTTTTGTGTTTCCCTCAAAGATCTAAGTAGGGAACCTCTAAGCACAGGTTTCTCTTTCCCAAATCATTGTTTCTCATCTCAGATGTGTTCTTGCTCTGCCCTCCGATTTCTAGATAGTCCCGTGTCTCAAACGTGATCCTCATTGTAAGGCCCTGGTCCCACTGTTCCCTTCTCCTATCCCTCATCTCTGAATTGGGGTGCTGGGATTTTAGAGGTGTGAAATAGGTGGGGGTGGGTGAGGGTTGAAGAGGAACTGGTGGAAAGATTGGGATTCCTGCAAAGGGACTGAACAGAGGAAGAGTTGGGGAGCAGACTAGCCCTCCCCCCACCCCAGCCTGTCTCCTGGCAGTGTCTCTATGGCTGCTACGTTCACTCTTCCATCGTCCCCACATTCCATCGGCGCTGCTACTGGCTGCTCCAGGTAAGAACGGAAGAGTTCAGGAAGCCACACTCTTCCTGGCTCTTTGAGGGGAATGGGGTCTGAAAGGATGCAGTGGAAGGTTGACTAGGTTCTGAGTGGGAAAAGGAGCCTGGGAAGAGAGAGGGGCTTGGGGATAGAGAAAGCAAGAACTTGGGGGGTGCTTGGGAAGAAAGCGAAGACTAGGAGGCTGAGCCCCTGGACCTCTGGACCCCATGGTGCTCTGTGTATGTACCTTTGTGCCCTCAGAATCCTGACATCGTCCTTGTGCACTACCTGAACGTCCCAGCCCTGGAGGATTGTGGAAAGGGCTGCAGCCCCATCTTTTGTTCCATCAGCAGCGACCGTCGAGAGTGGCTGAAGTGGTCCCGGGAGGAGCTGTTGGGACAGCTGAAGCCCATGTGTAAGGCAGCAGGGCTAGGACAGTATTCCAAGGGGAGTGGAAACAGGGGTCTCCCAAAGGCACCAGGAGCCTATGGGGTGACTATTTCCCTCCAAGCCAGGAGGTTACTTTCCTGCGGGGGTTCTAGGCTTCCCGGTGAGTTCTGAGGTGTTGGAATATGGAGAAGGGACAGCTGTGAACTACAAATGTAAGCAGTCTTGAGGCTGCTGGCATCTGTTCACCTGGCCAGAAGTCTTGGAGCATCTCAAGTGCTTGGAGGAGCCATCAAGGTGCTCTGAGATTGTTTTGTGGTGGTCCCACAGCACTTCCCCCCCCAACTCTCTTCTAGTTCATGGCATCAAGTGGAGCTGTGGGAATGGGACAGAGGAATTCTCTGTAGAGCA